GTTACGATATTCAGTGCCAAATACTACAATAAAACTGGTTACTGTAGGCCTATTATATATCACTGCCATTAAAAATAATTAAAATGACAGAGGTACCCTGAAAGCTTCTTAAGACTGCTTGAAGGAGATTTCATATTTATTTTTCATGGTTTTAAAGCACTAACTGTAGTAACTATTTCAGCAGAAACCAGTTTCCATGGTTACCATAGTAAACCTTTCTTAAGGAGGTCTTCTGGCACATATCTTCACCATCTCCGGTGTCCACTCAGCTAATTCATGGGTTTGTGCAATTTTCATAAATGAATAACTAACATTTTAAATGAATGGCGCTTTACTGGCATAAAGTTGGCTTGACCTTGGACATTCGATATTCGCAAATTTAGGGACTGTCTCTAAAGTTACATGCAATATTGGTATACACTTTTCTAACGTCAATAGCATTTGAGGAGAATGACTTACAGTAATAAAAAAACTGTAAAGTGTTCATTTAGGTGTCAACTACAATGCACGCCTTATACATTTTTAATATTTATTAAAATAAACTCTAAATCATATGTAAAATATGCTATTTTCATTACCGAATAAGCTCAAATGCAAAATATGCCATAATTTAAAGCTCAATAGTATTTGAGCAGAATGACTTACAGTTATAAAACAAACTGTAAACTGTTCATCCAGGTGTCAACTATAATGCACACCTTTTACATTTCTTATATTTGTTAAAATAAACTGTAAATCATATGTAAAAATTCTATTTTTTCACTACCGAATGGGCTCAAACGCAAATTTAAAGCTCAATAGCATTTGAGCAGAATGACTTACAGTCATAAAAACAACTGTAAACTGTTCATCTAGGAGTCAACTATAATGCGCACCTTTTACATTTTTGATATTTATTAAAATAAACTGTAAATCATATGTAAAAATTCTATTTTTTCACTACCGAATGGGCTCAAACGCAAATTTAAAGCTCAATAGCATTTGAGCAGAATGACTTACAGTCATAAAAACAACTGTAAACTGTTCATCCAGGTGTCAACTATAATGCACAGCTTTTACATTTTTGATATTTATTAAAATAAACCCTAAATCATATGTAAAATATGCTATTTTCACTACCGAATAAGCTCAAATGCAAAATATGCCATAATTTAAAGTTCAATAGTATTTGAGCAGAATGACTTACAGTCATAAAAACAACTGTAAACTGTTCATCTAGGTGTCAACTATAATGAAAACCTTATACATTTTTGATATTTATTAAAATAAACTGTAAATCATATGTAAAAAATGCTACTTTTTCCCAACAAATGGGCTCAAATGCAAAATATACCCTAATTTAAAGCTTAAAGGGGTCATATGATGCAATTTCACGTTTTCCTTTCTCTTTGGAGTGTTACAAGCTGTTCGTGAATAGATAAGATCCCTAAAGTTGCAAAGACTAAAGTCTCAAACCCAACGAGATATTCTTTATAAAAGTTAAGACTCGTCCACGCCCTCCTAAAACGGCTCGTTCTAACACGCCCCCACATGTCTATGTCACGATGTGGGAAGATTTGCATAACACTGCCCAAATGTTCATGCAAAAAAAGAAGGCGTAACTTTGATTCTCACTGTAGTACTGTTGCCGCCGCCGCCATGTTGTGGAGACGCTGTTTTTCGTTGCGAAAGCGAAACTACTTTGTTTGGCCTTCCAAAAGAGGACACAACTAGAAATCAGTGGTTAAGTTGTATTTACAACACTGTTATAGAACAGTTCAACCCAAATATTCAGATGTGTGCAGCGCATTTTACGGAAGACTGAACCTGGGAGAGCAAAAGCTGTTTCTATAAAGTGGGGCAATTCCAACTTTGCAAGGACAGTCTGGAGCTTCTGACTCACAGCATATAAGTACGTTTTCATATTTAAAGAATTTGCCACTGATGATTAAACGCGAGTTTTGGGCAGTGTAGAGTAGCGCTTGTTGTTTGTCATTTCTCCGATCACAAATGCAGACATGGTTTTATGTTTACGTGGCGCGATGCAACGCATAACAAAATAATGTTTTTTGAACCTTAAACCGCATAAACACATTTCATTACA